CATGATGTTCCCGGAGCTCGTGTGTGTGTGTGTGTGTGTGTGTGTGTGTGTGTGTGTGTGTGTTGTTAATGTGTTAATTGGGGTAGTTATCCTACAGTCAGATGACATCTTCATTTTGACCAGGTATGACTTTCTCTAATGAGTTTAGTCTACTGCAAAACAGAGGTTTTGATGAGGGGTGACAGCTATACTCAGGAAAAGAGTAGTTACAATGCAGGTAGACATTATACTGGTTTAAGAAAGTGGCAAGTAGTGGGTTCTCCTCTAGGTCCATGCCCTTGCCAGCCACAAGTACTTGGCTAATTTAAAATTCTAAGCATGGATTCCTCCCTCTGAGTGATCCTAGTAAGTAGCTGTTGCTTACCCCTAGGAGACAGCCCCACTGTTGCCTCTCTGAGGGTATCTGGCTGTGCTGGCCATTGTTGTGGTATGCTGGCATCAGCAGCTAGATGGAATTATTGCTTGCCTTTCTCCTTGGATACTTGCATGGCTTCTTATGATATTATGAGAACTGATCATCAGGGAAGAGGCTTCCAGGTCCTATCTAGATTGATTTCTCCAAATCCTGTGTATGGAGTGTGCTGTGTCTTCAGCAACAGGGTCTTGCCTTGTTTTCCTGGAGGGTACCAAGGGCAACTGCAATTGCTTTGGGAGTCTCTTGAATTCCCATGACCATTAACTCAAAAGGAAGTTTTCTCTACCTGGCATTTGGGCTTTTGTTAGTTTATGGGGGTGGGGGCATTGTCAACCCAATTGTCATAGCTTCAATTAAATGTGGGGTGTGTGTGTGTGTGCGTGTGTGTAATTAAGTCATCATAAAATAATATCATCCCTTATGGATTTTTTCAAACATCCTTAGTGTTATTTATTCCTCTTCCTCCCCTCTTCCTGTGTGTTGCCTCCCCTCCCCTCCTCCCTCCCAGGTAAGTCTTTCCTGTCAGTTTTTCCCATTTCCCCTTCTGTGTCTTACCCTCCCTATTGCCCCTCACCCCACCCAAATCCTTCCATCATGTTTTAGTTTCCAGTATCTGCAGTTACTCCGGGTTATATTATTATTTGGCAAACATCTGGGACGATATGAGAATATTCAGATGTCCCAACACCCACTCAGGACACATTAATTTTATATGAAAAATGACACAAATTTCAGTTACCTGGTAGACAAAGGGAGTGAAAAACAACCTACATTAAATGCATTTGAGTGACTATGCAAATGGGATTAGACCTTCCTGAACAGGGAAGCTTCCTGTGATCATTTGTCTGCCAGGTACATCGGCCAAAGCACATTCTGTTCATTCTCAGGACCACGGTATTATATCAGAGTCTCTGTTTCATTTATTTATTTTATTGTAACAAGTTAACAAAAAACAATCAGGACACTCCTCCTCATTGTAAATCCCAAGTAGAAGTAGTCAAACCCCTTCTTACAGTTTGACCCGGGTGCTAAGTAACTTTCCTCCAGCCTCCCTGGTTCTCAGAACCATCAGGTCCTTAATGGTTAGGTGGACCGTGTGTTCCCACCATCCTGACTCCTCTTCAGGCCAGGATCTATCCATGTCACTGGGCACCTCCCCACACTTCTGTTCCTATTGCTGTGTCACATGTGGCTCATGCGTGTGCCCTGTGTTAGAACTGGAATGCTTGGCATAATACCTGAGTGCTAGAAAAAAAAATAGTTGAACATAAAGACGCTACACTTAGAGAACGTAGGATGATAACTTTTGGTGTTCTTGTTGAATGGAAGTGAGGCTACTGACCTTCCATCCAAGCATAGTCTCTCGAGAGCACTGCAGCTCCCGCAGCCTCTCTGTGCCTGTCTGTCCAGCTCCCTACCCCCTCGGAAACTGTTCATTTTCCCAGTTTCTTAATCTGACCTATCAGCTGCACGTGGCATTGCTGGATTCCAATGGTAATCTTCTAGAAACTCTTTCTCTTCCTGGGCATCAGGAGGCCATTCTTTCTCTTCAATCACTTCCTCTCATAGTCCTTCCTTTACTGGAGTTTCCTGAGCTTGGTCTCTAAATCTCAGAATCTTCAGGTTCAGTCTCAAGCTCCAATTTTTGTTTCCTGCAACCTTTAGAACTTATTCCAAGGCCCCACTGGCAAATAAGGCTCTGCCTCCCACACATACTTCTAGAAGTGAGCCATAGTCCTCTTCAGCTAGCGCTGGTCTTGCCTGACGGTTCCTAACTCAGGGCCCTTGCACCCCAAGGAGTGCATAGGTGTACGGCAGACTTGGGAAGGCTCCTCGATGTCTCCCACTTAGAAGACTGTCTGAGAGTCTCACTATCTCAGAGAAGCCTGCATTTGACCCCTCAGTGTAAAATAGCTCCCGCCGACCTCCAGGGTGCCCTGTGCTCTGCTGTTGGTTTTCTCTGTTATCCTTATCGCCATCTGAAAAGATTTCCTTCAGCCTTAATGTTTGCATTTACCATCTATGCTGTTCCTCTAGACTGAAAATCCACATAAATGCCCCCCCTTTTTTTTCTGGCTTTCACCATGTCATACCCAGCATCTTGGCATCATATTGCTGCCAAATGCTTTAAAGTAAAAACCTAACAGAACTGAATGATGGTGAGGGGAAGCTAGTACTATTTGGTTAATTTGGTCTTAGGGAGGTTCAAAACAAGGATAAAATACATGGCCCTGATGGCATGCTTTTATGTGGCCTGCCAGAACAGGCCTTCCAAAGGGGAGCTGCTGCTCCTCACTCAGAGCTGGTTTGCATTTTTCTCAAGTAGCTTTTAGGGCTCTGAGACATGGTAAAAAGCCCAGTAGGACAACGTCTGCTCCTTTTATCCTACTTAGACTATTGGCTTACAAATACATTCCACACTATTGGGAACACATTCTTAAGTAGGGAGGCCTGCTGCTGCTCCACAGAAATAGACAGAGCAACAGAGCCCCAGCCCAACTGTTCAGCATCAGCTTAGCCTCGGCTCCAGGCTTGGAAGCTGCTCCCAGAGTGCCAGAAATGAGTCTTCATTTGGGGACGTGTTGGCATTTTTCATTAACTTTGGAGTTAACACTTTCAGCCCCTCCCTTTTTTCTCCATTATGAAATGTTTCCTTTATTTTGCTTATTCTTGAGAATTTCAAACATATGAATATATATATTTGCCCACCATTGTCCATCTAACTCCCCCTATATACCCTCCACACATCCTTCTCTTCATGTTTTGGGTTTTGTTTTTTGCATGCACGCATATAAGTACCCTTCTAAGTTTATCCAGTTTGTGCCATATATATATATATATATATATATATATATATATATGTATATATATATATGGTAAGGACCATCCACTGGAGCCTGGTAAACCTATCGGCATCAAAAATCAGGACCCTCTCCTCCCCAGCAGCTATCCAGTGCTCATAGCTGCTCAGTAAGGGGTGGGACCTAGCAACCATCCACCCCATCTTTGCCAGGATTTGGGCTGGCATCTAACTATCTATACCCATAGACCTGGGCTGCTCTCAGCCTTGGTCAGACAAGTTTCTTTTTGCAGTGATCCACAGTCAATGGAGAGATGCAATGGTCAGAGCTTTGAGAGTGAGACTGAGTTCTAGGCCTCAGTGGGATGTCAACATCAAACCTTCTCCCAAGGTTCAGGGACACCGAAGAAGGCGGGGAGTGTGTGGAGAGAATGTAGGAGTCAGAGGATGGGGAAATATTGTGAAATGCTGTCTTCCAGATAGGACATGGCTATCTCGGGCAAGAACTCACAGCATCTCTGGTTACCTGCACACCACCTGCACAGCTGTCCCTTTTCCATTCCAGGGAACAACCTGGTTCCTTTCAAGAAGCCATAGAGACTTAATTTACAAAGCTGAATCTGATTTTTAAAATGAGAAAAAAACCAAGCACATAGAACAGAGAAACTACATTTTCTCAAGTGGTCACTTAAAGATGTCAAAATTACCATCATCACCTATAGATGGTCCCCTATTACGCCATAAAACTGTAGATCAGAAAAAGAACTACATAGACTCGGAATAAAAAGTGAGCTCTTTGTGTTGCAGAATAGTCAGTCTCAGAATACAGATATTTCAGCTTGATGGAGTTGTAACTGTTCCTACCGACCTCACGCAAACCTCAAAAGACAGTCATCAAGAGAACTGGTCCAGACCCTCATTCTCTATCCTTAGCCTAAGATAAGCTGGGAACTTGTCTGAAACCTGACTGGCACTCATCCGAGAGCATCCCACACATCACAGAGGAAGACAGGGGGACAAACACCATTCCTAATCAGTTCAAGACCCCTGCAAATGTAGGCTGGTGTGCTGCTTGACCAGTGCCTGCCCTGCCTGCATTTTAGGCAGGCGACCTTTGATACCAGTATTAGTTCTCCAGTACACAGGGTGGAAGATGTAATACACCTCACACCTGGTTAAAGACTTTAGCCTCCATCTAAGCTTGACCTTTTCACCAAGAGCAGCCCACGATCTGTGGAACTAACTCCCTCACAATTTTGCTTTTGGACCCGGGAGCAGGGAAGATGGGAAAGATCATGCTTTTCAGTTTGGTCTTGACACTGATAATCCAGCCATTTGTCAGTACAACCAAGATGGAAAGGATTCTGCAGAGCACCCGTCCCTAGACCTTTATAAATTATGACCGTGTGAGTTAGAGCAGAGCAGAGGAGAGGAGAGGAGAGCTCCCGGATCCCTTTCCGCGGCAGCCACAGCCCACCGGAAGTGGCACGACTTGTGTGGAGTCCGTGTCGGGATGTGGATTATACATGTTTCATAACCAGCGACTGTAATTATCAAAGACACTTGAGGCAATATGATCTCTGACACAGCTGCCTAAGTTATTTTCAGACTACAAAGTCCATTGAGAGAAAATAGAACATTTTAATCCAGAAACTACAATTTCAGATCGGTAAATCAAGCATACACTTGGTAGTTGAGCTGCTTCCGGGAGCCTTTGTTTAGAAATACCACTATCCATCTATGCATCTTCCCAGAGTCTAGCCACGCTAACCGGCAGACATTCCCATTCCATGACAGCACATTTATTCTCTTTGCTGTATCACTGTTGCTGTCTGCAGAGTGCACTCTTAGTGGATCCTGGTTGAGAGGTGTTGGAAATGGTCAGACCACGTGACTCAGTCTCTTGAAAGTTCACGAGGTGGTTAGATAGCATTAGTTAACTGAGACTCCTCCCCACCCTCCTCCAAAGAACTTACAGTGTTTATCTTTTTGTCTTGTTTTAATTCAGGCATCATATCAACGTTTCTTCATGTTCACCCGTTTGGAGCTAATATAGAGTATCTGTGGTCATACATGCAGCAGCTGGACTCTAAGGTAAAGTGTTTGTTTTTTGTTTTAAATTGAACCTTCATTGTTGGAATTCAGCGTATTGCTTGCTGGCTGCAGGTGGACGCCACGTGAGCTGCATTAAGATAGAGCCCCTTCGCAGCCCCTCTCAAAGGACCCGGGGCTTTGGCAGACGGTTGTCATCTACTTGCTTCTCTTTATACGAAGAAAAATCGTTTATTTAAAGTGACAGTGACTTGTCACGGTCTATGGATGCCAGAGCGCTTTGAGAAGCCTTTGAGGGATTTGAAATTTCAGACTGGCCTGAGAGTTTCAGAGACGAGGGGGAAGACATTGTGAGGGTGGCTAATGAGGCAGGTTCCTCAGATCACGTTCACACAGGATTCCATGCTTGAGATGTCACATGGTGGGACCACCACCATCAATAGCCTAAAGAGCTGATATGATGCTCAAGGACAGCTGAGTTATCCTCAGCTGTGTTTGTGTTCCTTATGGGTCACACCCGGAGTCAGACCTTGGGACATTTTTCTGAAGTTTGGCTCTCTCATTTGAAAATTAGCAGTGCTTCTGCCAAGTGCAAAGGGGCGGGGGGAGGTGCAATTTCTGTGTTGAGTTCAGGTGAACATTTAAGAGGGGCTGCAGCTGGTAAAGCCATGTCTTCTATAAGAGCTGTCTGTGTAGCTGATCACTACAGCCAGAGAAATCACACAAGCCAGGAAAAAAACTGCCTTAAAAGCAGTGGAAATAAACAGACATGCCACCTCCAGTCAGAGAAAAATACTAGCCTTGTGCTACCAGATGCTCAGCCTACAGCTCCGTGACCCTGCAGCTCGCTCTGATATCTAGGGCATCCTCCGTATTTGGTGGTTAACACGGATTACAGGATTACATTACCACACTGCATTCTCATTTGACGCTGATGATTTTACCAACTGGGGATCACAGTGCTGCCTGCCTGAGCTTTATTAAGTAGACCTGACACTTCCCCTTTGAGAGGAATCATCTGAAACTGCAAGTGGTTTTTAGTCATAGACTTTATGGAGGATAGAAGCAGGTTTTAAACTTTAATTTTTTCTATCCACACACATGAATTGTACATATTAGGGGAGTGTAGTGTGGTGATTTCTCTTGTTATCCCCCTAAGGCTTGTTTCCAAATATGAGTGAGGACAAGGTAACACTTGCCTCTCTGTGCCGACGGCTAATGTCACTTCACATGATGTCAAGATCTCACTCTTTATAGATGAGTAATTCTTTAATACATACCTGTCAATCTGTTGATCAACACCTAGGATGACTATATAATATGGCTATTATAGATATTATAATAGGGTACCTGCGTAGGTAGATTTCTCTATATTCTAATTGAGGTTTTTTTTTTGGGGGGGGGGGTAAATAACCAAAGTAGTATAGCTGGGTTACATTGATAATTCTGTTTTAAGTTTTTAAAATTTAGTTTTATTTTATGTATACATTTATTTTGGTCTGCATGTATGAGCACCATGAGTGTACAGTGCCTGCAGAGTTCAGAAGAGGGTGGATCTTCATGGAACTGGCCTTCCAGATGGTTTGTTAGTTCCTGTGTAGGTGCTGGGAAACAGAGAGGACCCTCTGAAAGAACAGGTGGTGCTTAGTCACTAGGGCATCTCCCTAATTTATTTTTGTGGGGACTCCATAATGATTTCCACGATGGATGGACCAAATTACAGACCTACTGAATTACAGAATGTAAAGGTTCCCTTTCCCTACTTCCTAAGCAGCATCTGTCCCTTGTTTTCCTAATAGAGTGAGGTAGAGTCTCCATGGAGCGTGTATTTGCATTTCCATGGTGACCAAGGATGTTAAACACTTTCTACACTGTCCATTCACACTCCTTCTTTTGACAGTGTTCTTTAGTTCAGTTCATCTGCCTATTTACCGATTGAATTCTTTCTCTTCATTATTGTTAGAAATATACATAAATATAAATACAGTAGTCTGAGTCCACTTAGTGTTGCTCCTATGAATATGGTTTTAGAAATGACCACTGGAATTAGATAATCAGTTAGGGGCTCATCCTTGGGAAAGACTAATTATTCCTTCCTCGGCAGTCATTAATTGCCTGTAATTCTTTATCTAGGGCAATGGGTTCTTGTTCACTGTCCCCCATCCTCCTTGGCATGGCATGTCATATCAACTGGTCCTGTCATTGTCAGGTCTTGCCTCGGCTACCATATTGTTGAAATTCCATGGGTGAAGGTCCTCTGTTGTATGTAGAAGACACAATCTCATGGCAGGTATCATCTGGTTCATAAAATATTTTCATCCCTCTTCTGCAATGTTCCCTGGGCCTGTGTTGTAGCTGTTTTCCCTTGGGACTGGGCATGGGCAGTTTTTCTTTATATTTTGACCCTTGGTGGTGTTCTGTAATGGTCTCTGCTATACAAAGAAGCTCCTTAATGAGAAGCAGGGGCTACACTGATGTGTGGGTAGAAGGATGGCATTAAGAATACGATAGGAATTACAGTGGTTTAGGAAAGTTGCAGTAATACATTGTCCTCCAGATTCCATGGCCTCAGCAATGGATGGTTGGCTAAGTTTACTGTGGCAGGCATGGCTTCCCTCCTATTGAGCAGGCTTTAAACCAGTGAGAGCTGTTGCTTATTCCCAAGATATAAGTGCCACACTGCACCTTTGCAGGCATCTTATTGTGATTCCTAGACTTGATATCTGAGTAGGTTCTTGGCAGCTTGAATAGCACCTTCAGATACAATGGAGAGCTAGTCTTCAGGGAGGAGGTGTCTAGGTCAGTTCTGACTCCAAGTCCTGCGCTCAAACTCTATGACATCTTCAGCAATAGGGACTTACCTTCAAGTTCTGGGAGGCAACCACGAGCAGGGCAATGGCCTATAGTTGTTTTTTATTTTGTTGGGTATTTTTGAGGTGGGTCTATTGAACTCCCCCGGCCAACAACTCAAAAGGAGGTTTCCCATGCCTGGTACTGAAATTTTTGTTACATAGTTTATGGCTCTTGGGGAGAGCATTAACACCCAAAGTGATATAACTACCATAAATATCCACAAATACTTTGTATATATTACATGTAATTATAGGTAAGTATAAACTACAGTTCCATAGACTTTATCCCTGTCCTCCATCTCATCCTCTGTATTGCCCTCTCTCCCTAGTTAAGCACTTCCCCCATTTTCTTACTTCCCCATTATAGCACCTGTATCAACTCTCCCCTTCCTTCCTAGATGTGTGTGACACTATTTATGGGAAGACATTAATAAATATCTATTTACCTATTTGCCCCAGATAGGGAACAGATTGAAGATGCCACCAGGATCCAAATTGGCACATCAATAAGTTTTATTGGCATTACTTAACAGAGCATAAACAACACAATGACAGCTACATCATCAAAAGCCCACCACTGCATGGAAGACCCCTTCAGAAAGGCTGAAAACCTGGAGCGCACTGCAAAAACTTACAGGCTGCTCAGTAGGTTGGAGCACATTCTTTCTGGTAGCCCAGTGGGCCTGAGCCTTTCCCAGGCTACTGGGCCTTTGCATGGGCCTGGCTTTCTTCCAGGCAGCTCAGATGGCCTGAGCATACTTCATAGCAGTCCTTACTGCTTACATACACTTGGGAAGGGAGGAAGCTAGTGAATCTGGTCAGTTTCAGGGACTTCCTGATTTTAGTGTTTACCTCATGAGCTTATCTTGTTCCTGATCTTAGATAGATGCTCTCACCATTTCCCTATTTTGTGTGAGGTTAGCTATGAGTTTGTCGAGTACAGCCTTTATTGTAATAAACAGTAATAATTCACCTATCAAGACTTGTAATATGAAGAGATGTTGACTTTTATCAGATGCATCTTCTGCTTACTTGAATTTATCATTTGCTATAGTAGTGTGATATATTGCTTTTATTGATTTGCATATGCAGAATCACTCTTCATCACCATCATGGTACTGATCTTTTTCATGTGCTACTAAATTTAATTTGATAGTATGTTTTTGAGAATTTTTTGTTAGTATTTATCGGGGATATGTTCCCAGTAGTTTTCTTTTCCTTTTCCTTGTGTCCTTGTGAATTTTGGTAACTAGAGAATGCTGACTACATGGAATGAGTTTGGCAAGGTCTTTGAATTTCAGATCTTCAGAATAGCTCAGGATGAATTGGCATTACTGCCTCAGAAGTTTTGTAAGATCACATGTGAAACCATGTGATCCTGAGCTTTTTTCTTCTTCTTAGATATTTTAGTATGGATCTCATTCCTTGTTATTCAGATAGTGAGGTTTATGTCTTTCTGGTGCAATTTTGATGGGCCACTTGTGACCACTTTTCTTCTTAATTTTATTTGAATTGTCAGTATTGTCCTGAACTTCACGAGTTTTTTGTACAATCAGCTTTCGAGTTCTTTAGTAGACATTGTTTATTTTAATTGCTTTGGAATGTGCTCCTAGAGAAACTGACTTTTCCACAGACCTTGTGCTCCTCCACTGAGATTTCTGCATGTGGTGGGTCGGTCCCCCACTACTGTCATGGAGAGGCCTTCTCAGAACATGGCTTTTCCTGATGGTGGTATCAACATGTCAGGTTGTTATGGGATACGATTCTGACTTTTGTCTGGACACTTTAGAATAGTCTACTAAAGGCTCTTTGGCTGCTTGCAGACTTTGGCCAGTTGCATTCTGGTAAGTGCAGAGACTCACTTGTCTCTGCAGACCACACAAGTGGGCACACAACACTTAAGTCAAGGATAATGGAGATTTGAGTGACCATATAATGGTGGGGTGTAATGGGTAACATCAGAAGTGACAAAAGGTCTTACGCCATTTCCCTCTAGACCTAGACTCTATATGAGGAAAGACAGAGGCAAGAGCCACAGCTCCCACTGTGGGATGCCCACACCAGTCCTGAAAATAGTAAGTAGCTGGGAGTGGGAGCCATTTAAATGGCGTAGCAATAGGAACTGAGGTTCCTTCTGCTGCCACTGGGAATGCCCACCAGAAGTGGGACCTCAAAGGTCTCCATCTGTAT